TAAGATATTTTTATTTATTTATCAAATTTTAAAACCTAATGTTTCCTCCACAGGGAGGGATGGCTTTTATTTAGCGATTCTAAAAATAAATATTTTGGAGATTATTTAGGCAATCATTCATTTCAGTACTGGAGCAAGGCTGTGATGTTTAGGATTTAATTACAGGTAGTCAATTAAGAGATCATCAGAGTGGAAGGGACCTTGTAGGTCATCTAATCCAACCCCCCGCCTAAGCAGGAGAACCTATACCCGTGATGGTGAACCTATGGCACGCTTGCCACAGGTGGCACACGGAGCCATTTGTCAGGGCTTGTGAGGCGATGCCCTGTCAACTGGCCAGCGTGCATGCACGCACAGGCAGGTTGACTTCAGACTTCTTTTGAGGCCGTTTTTCATCTTCTGGAGGCTTCCCTGAAGCCTCCAAAGTGCGAAAAACCGACCCTATGGGCAAACTGGAAATTCAGGAATGGACTTCCGGTTTGCTTGAAGGACCATTTTTTGCCCTCCGGAGCCTTCAGGGAAGCCTCCTGAAGGCCCCTGAAGGCTCCGGAGGCCAAAAATCGGCCCTATGGGGAACCCGGAAGTTCGGGAATGATGACTTCCAGTTTGTCCGTAGAGCCGATTTTCACCCTCCGGAGCCTTCAGGGAAGCCTCCTGAAGGCTCCGGAGGTTGAAAATTGGCCCAGTTGACAAATCGGAAGTCAGCATTCCCAAACTTCTGGGTTCCCATTAGGTCCGTTTTTTGCCCTCCGGAGGCTTCAGGGAAGCTCCTGAGGCATCTGGTGGGCGTCCGGGTGGGGGGCAGTGAGGCTGTTTTCGCCCTCCCCAAGCTCCTAGAAAGCCTCTGGAGCCTGGGGAAGATGAAAAAACCATGGCAAAAGCAGTGTGTGTGTGTGTGTGTGTGTGTCGCTGACTGTGCACATGCGTGCATGCTGGAAAGGGCGCATAACATTATGGGTGTGGCACGCTGGTGCATGACCCCCCTGTGCTCTACCCCCCCTTTTGGCCTGGCAGCCAAAAAAGATTTGCAATCACTGCCCTGTGCCATAGCCTCCAGTGATGAAGCTCCCACAACTTCTGAAGGCAACTTCTGTTCCATTGGTTGATTGTTCTCTCTGTCAGAACATTTCTCCTAATTTTTAGGTTGAATCTCTCCTTGGTCAGTTTCCATCCATTATTCCTTGTCCGGTCTTCAGGCGCTTTGGAAAATAGCTTGACCCCCCCTCCTCTCTATGGTCCTCAACTTACAACTGGTCACTTAGCAACTATTAGAAGTTACAATGAATTCCCCCCAAAATGTAATTTAGGACGTGTTGGAACCTACTCAAAATTCTGACCTCTCCCCCCGGTGCCCTTTTTAGGGGCTCGGCAACTGGCCTGTATTTGCAGAATTTGAGGTCATGTTATTACAACTTATGAATGTTTTTGATGAAAACCGATGCTTGTTTCCAGTTTCCAAAAAACTCCAAAAAAAATAACCCCACCCAAAGAGTTTGCTTAACAGCCATTACAAAAAAAGTCATAATATCAGGTCAGTCATGTGATGACTTGCTTTACGATCTTCATGACTTACAACCAGAATTGCCAGGGTGAATTTTAGTTCTAAATCAAGAGCTATCTTAAACCGAGAGCCGAGGTGGCGCAGTGGTTAGGGTGCAGTACTGCAGCCACTTCAGCTGACTGCTAGTTCTGCAGCTCGGCGGTTC